CTGGCAGGACTTGAAACAATGTGCGGATTCACTGAAGAAACGAGAAAACATTATCGTTGGCTCTCGCTTTTAAATCAAAAGTAATGCATATTTCTTGATAAAACGTCGTGGTGTCTTCGGGAAACTAGTAGTTTTGTTTTCTCTAGAATGTCGATGTTTCCGAAATGAAATAAACACTGAAACACTTATAAACAGGCTGAGAAAAACAAAAATGTAGTCTGGCTTTTCCCTTAGCTAAAAAAAAAGCAAAAGCAAGTCATGAGATGAGAACCTATTGATCGGTGAATTCAGTTCCATAAGGTTAGATTAAGTGGCACCTTATTCAGAACCACACCTTGAAGATCTGATGTTTTGATAAATTAAGAAAAAATACTCTACCTTCAGCTGTCGTAGTCATTTTCAGATTCTTAGCTTACCTACGTCTTCAACTTCGATCGTTATTGATACTGGACTGAAGTAATCATTACGGTCCAACTGCTGGGTTCCCCAGCATGTGTAAACACCTGCATCTTCCTCTGTCATGTTTTTGATCGTAAGCGTGTTACCAGAGATAACATGTCGGCCCACGGGAAGTTTCTCGTGTGATTTTGTCCATTTAACTTCAGGGGTGGGGTAGCCAAAAATATTGCACTTGAGGACGGTGTCCCACGTGTTGTAAGCGGTTACAGATTTCTCTGGTTTCATCACAAATTTTGCTGGTACTGTGTTAAACCATAAAAGTACAAACTTTTAGAGGTAAAGCATTGTGTAATAAATTGAACTTGTTGTAGTGTAATTCTATAGTGGAGGTATTCGTGTTTCCTATTGGACATCCATGTTATGGTCAATTGACACCTGTCTAAACGAGGTATTCGCTGACCAATATCACTTGACCATATCACGGGCTCAGGTTTAGAGCTCATCAAGGTCACATGTTTTTTTTTTTAAGTTGACCACTGCACTGGTTTTCGATTGGATTCAAACCGGTTCAACCGGGTTATTATTCTTGGGGAGAAGGAGGGGGTACGTACAAAGGCAAACACTCGGGGCGAATTAACCCCTGGCGGGTCCTTTTTACTTTTGATAGTTTTCGAACAAAACAAAGAAAGAGTACGTAAATTCTACAATCGTGGAAAAACTGGGTACGCTTTATTTGATAGCCTCCTTTTTGTTAGCTGGAAAAAAATAGTGAAACCACACGCCGAACAATTACGTGCCCACAATCGTACAGTCGTTGAGTTTTTGGCCCAAGAAAAACAAATGCTCTTTTCCTTTATAGTAAACTTATTGTAATCAGTAACTTGGCTTTTAGGCTTGGCTAAAACTATATTAGTGATTACTTAAATGCTAACATTGGGTGCAATCAAAGGACTCTTGGAGCCAGCTCATTTATGTAATGGCTAATTTGCATTATACTCTTTGGTTATTTAAATATCGGCACAGTTGAACCCCGTTAATTCGATCCCTCAGGGAGAAAACAGTTCGAAATAGCAGGGGTTACGTTCGAATAGATATCATTATTCTTGGGCACTTGGGTTAGAAAATATCGGCAAATGGCCTAATGGCGTAACTGGGGGAAGGTTTCGCGCAAGTGTCTTGTTTGTGGCCGAAATCTCTAAGAGCAATGAAGAGCAATGAAGATATCTATTACTCTCCATACCTTGTACAGTTACGTTAACTGATAGCTGATCTCTTCCAAACAGATTCTCCGCTGTACAAGTGTACATACCGCGGTCTTCAAACTGGATTTCCCTGAATTCCAGACCACGCCCTGCCTTGACTTGTTGTCTCTCTTCTATCAGGTGACCATTCTTATACCACGTGATTACCGGCTGTGGGAACCCAGCTGCTTTACACGGTAATATGACATCTTGTTTCTCCCTGACTGTCACCACAGAGGAAGAAGGTTTTGAAATGAAATGCGGTTTTTCTGGAAGAAAATAGTTTGTGCTTTTTGTGGTCATTGTTCACTGAATAACTTTTACAACTGCACAGCATCCAAAACGCAGCTACTCAGTGCTGCTTCGAAAAGCAATGAACAGAAACTTGGACAAAAAAATGAACTTATACCTTCTCTATCTAGCATGTGCCCCAATAGGAACATTTACATATGACAGTCAGAAGCTTGACTACTCGTGCGATAAAGTTTGATCTAAAATTGTACTTATCAACCTTACGTTTGTGTTGCAGCTTTAACCAAATCAGGTCATAAATATTTGGAGAAAATTGGGCTTTGATTTCGTAGTATATATCTGTATTGCCGCAAATTCACTATCTAATTACCATGACCTAGTCCCAGCTTCCCTTGCAGCTAAGTTGACTTGTTCACGAGCCCAAATACCCTCACTGTTCAGTTTCTTGCCGTTTTTTCGCGTTGCCTCCGAGCAAACCAATCGGCTGGAACGGACTATAGCTCAGCTAGTTAGAGCGACAGTGATCTGAGCTCCCGGGTGCACCAAGATCAAAAATTTTCTTTGTCCGGTTTGGTTTAATTTCCCGTTACCTTTCCCGGGGCAGAAATCCCGAGGGATTTTATAGTCGATATAATGCTTTATAATACCTTTAAATATACCATCATAACTATTCCCCGTAGATCTCAATATCATTTTGCCCCACGACAAAGTATCAGTTATAACACTATAAACATTACTGTTTTGGTAAAAAGCACAGATCACATGACAACACGGTAATAGTTTTCACTTGAGGGTCCAAAGTAATTTACATTTGTTTCGGTTTTGCATCATTACGATTGGCTCAAGAAACTCGTGCCACTTTCCCAACCAATCAGACGTAAAAATAAACCCAATGGCGACTTACTCGCTGACGTTTTCCCGCGTTTTTTGTCGGTTACACGAGATCTCTCGCTTGCATTGGTTCACATTACTGTGATTGGCCAGAGTGATTACTCTGGGTTTCGTTTTACGACTTCTACACACGTGTGTTCCACTCTTACCCAAACGATGTCCTCCAGTACGGTTTCCTGCGGCCCCAGGGGGTCCTGGAAATCCTCTCCTTCCTCGCTTTCCCCGGGGACCGGGTGGACCTCTTGTTCCTTTCTTCCCTCGTCNAATTCCAGTGCTAAAAAGCCTTGATAAATTTTAACTTGCGTGTAAAACTTCACTTGATTTTAATAAAAGTTTCTATCCGCCCTGTTTTGTCTGTACATTTTGACCTTTGACGGAAAAAAACGTTCGAATTTGGCTACCTGCACGCAAACAACATAAAATGAACCAAAAGCGGTAGAAATATTTCCAGTTTTCACTTTTCCTGTTGACTCACTGAAAGAAATGAATCTACTGAACTACACTTCGTGAGAGGTGTATTAAAACAACAAGTTCAGCCTTCATGTAAACTCGAAACGGAAGCTGTACTTAAAATCTCCTTACCTTTCGAGGCTCCTTTGAGTTTAAACAAACGCTGTTACATTTGCGGCACAAGGATGATCCATCGACAGCCCTTTTGCTGAGTTTTCCGTTCATTTCCGAGTCACTTATTGGAGGCGAGTGTGTAGAGGTTAGTTTAGAAATTCCATGATTATCAAGCCGATACGGATGATTTAAGACAAGTAAATCTTGTTCAACTGCTGCTACACGTGATTCTAATCGATGCAAAGAATAGCTGGTGAAGCCAAGTGAACCCAACGTGAGGATCAAGTTGAACGAAAGGCCAAAGAGGAAAATGTTGGAGTTCTTAACACTTTTGCTCTCCATGCTTCCAGCTTCTGATATGATCTTC